CTTTCGAGAAAAGTGAAATTTGGTAGACGGTAAATTAGAGTAAGTTAATTTTTATCCGCATCTGTAATCCGTGCTGTAAATTCTTCTATCGTCTCGTTATCACATTGTTTTATTAATGTCGATGTGTATTTATTTTGAGCAAGCATTTGCTATAAAACTTGGCAATAAAAACTGTTGTTACTGTTATTATAATTTACACTTAATCTTAAGTACGTTTCTCTATAATCAAAGCATTAAGATCATTCCGCAAAATTTGCCGTATGTTAATAATGTAACGTGGTAGAAAATTTCAACGAGATAGGCTATTTTGTAAAATCAAACGAAAACTCATTTCGAATGTATATCCCGACGTATTCTTCGATACGTTTAATCTAAGTATAACGAAAACATTTTTAAAGAACCTGATTATGAACGAACATACTCCTAGATCATAATGATGAAAATAAATAAACCTCTTGTCCCTTTTCCTTTTTCAATTAAAAGGAAGCGTGTATATCGCGACATTGAACTAATATTTTGATAATTATAAAAAGACACTTCGCCAATTACAGAAAAAGAAGTAAAATAAAGCTTATCAGAGAAACTGTAATATATCGTACGACAGAGTTGATTTATTAAACAGAAGGCCCAAGCAACTCGAAGCACTTGAAGACGGAGATAAGCTACGTTTCTTTGCGCTCTTTTCAAACGCATGAAAGAGCAGAATTGAGCCTCGGAAAACTTTTTGTGCCTCTTATGCTCGATACCTTGAATTACCGTCAAGGTAAATCTTATTAGCATCCGCGTATCGAAAGATCAAAGTTTAATACGCCGCAACATGTGCAAACCGTATGCGCAGGTACGTATGTATATATACATGCGCAATTATACCATTGTAGTGAACAGAATCACACAGTTTGTATAATGTTATATATATAGTTATAATTATCGCGAGACTGTGATATATAATGACAGCTGCCCGACTATATAATTTGTTTCGCATTGAACGATCAAAGACACAATAAAGAGAATACCAATAATATATCGGCTAATCATATTAAGATTAACCAGGAAGATACACACGTGCTAATATTCCTTTAATTGCTATATGTATATTATTTAATATATATTCGCGAAATTTAATTAAAATTAATTTATCGCATTTGTATTTTGAAGATAATAGCAAATCAAATTGTTGCAGTTATATAATTATAACAATTAAAATTCTAATTGACCATAATCCAGAAATTACTCGTAATTATCTCTTGTGCATTTACGCGTATATTACTGAACACACAATATGCCACTGTGTGTGTAATTAGATACCGCGTCTGATATCTATATAGTTTTGTGACCTATTTGACATGGCCTTGTTCAAGATAACTCATAATGCCATGATGAATAAATAAAATATCGTTCCAACACACAACTTTTTCTCGAGATAAAAAAAGAAACCGTATATATCAGAGACTGATATGACTGATTGTAAGTAAAAAATATGAAATTTTCTATGCGCAATATAACAAACGACAATAATAATATCGATAAACTCTTTTCATATTAATAATTACATTTGAAAAATACAGTTTCTTTTTTTAATTATAATGTATGATGTTGGGTACTTACCTGTACGGGAGCACACCGTCGAGAGCCTGCGAAACTGTGGGGGGCGACGCGAGTGCGAATCCTCGTCCGAGTAACGCCGAATGTACAGAGAAAATTCTCTTTGCCGTTTCCTGCATCGATTCCAGATCCTCTTCTACTTCTTCCGCTAAAAATTGTAATACCATGTAGAAATCAGTTTTTTTATAAAAAATTATATTACTTTTTACACAATTAAAGTAGAATAATGAATCACATTTTTTCGAAATGATATTTTTTCGAGAACGAGCCAATTAGAAACATGATTATATATCATGTGTTATATTATTTTAAATAGCGTATATTAACATTCATGATACTTGTATTCATATATATTGGCTAATTAATATATGAAATAGAAATTCAGTCACATTATACTTACAGGATACTGAAGGCAACAATAAATTTTTCTTCATGAGACTTGCAGCACACGCTCCTCCAAGAAAGGATAACTCAATTTCCAAGTTCTTCAGACCATGACCGGATGTTATCCAATCATAACCAATAACTAAGCATTTGAAGCCGTATGTAATGGAGCTCTCATTTTTCATATAATCAGATGCGGTTTCCAACGAAAATACCACTTCATTTCCTAAACACAATACCAAATAATTTACTAATAATTCACTACAATTATTTAGTTTCACGTACTTTTAGTTAATGATGGATACAAACGTACCTGGTAATACAACAGCATTTTGAGGCCATTGACTCTGAACATTGCTTAACTTATGCAATACTGGCCAGTATTGTGGACCATCTTCGTTCGTAATATTCAAAACTGTCCTGTAAAAGCAAACATTAAACATAAGTATAAAAGATATGTGCATACAAAAATGTATATTATAAAAGTTTGAAAGTATTTATCTACCCAGTGAAAGAATTGAAGATTATATTTGGTATATAAAGCTGTAAATAGTCCTCAGGTTGCGATGTTCCACACTCCGGTGTAAATTCGACAGTCAGCCATTTTACTGTTTCCGGAAAAGTGACTTTGTAATATGACACTGTCGCTGGTTTATAAGGATGTTCACTCTCTAGCCAAGTATAATGATGACTGGTGGTAACTGGAGGAGCAAAGTGTGATTGAGTTTCGCTATCTTGGGATATCTGAGAGGTTCCCATCGTAGACAGTAAATTTAAAGCTGCGATGTGTGGCAACATTTCTTGTATTAGGGTAAGGATTTGCACGCTACTCTAAAAAATGCAGAACAAAATTTATATTAAATACTTATTTTGTCACACTTGTTTTAGTATCATTTAAGAATCGATAAAGTTTATATCAAAGAAATTTTCAAAATCACTTACTCTAGGATCTGATGTAGCCAAGGGACTAATATGTGCCATTACTAGTGGCAAGAGAGTCGTTACAAAAGTCGCGTTACCAAGGACTTCATTGGCTATTATTTCCTCTGCTCTTTCTCTCGCCAAAGAAAAAATTTCATTTGACCGTTGAATAATTGTTGTAGTCATAGCCAGGGTACATTTTCTTGCTTGTACTTCCGCCATAGCTTTATTCGTGTGCTGCCCATCGGAATCTTGTGGATTTGAATAATATAAAATATGCGGTATTTGACCTCTAGTTTGTGTTGTGCCTGCAAGAACATAGCATATTACAATCCATATTTTGCATAATACCATATATTTTTTTCAAATGTAAGCATGTGTACCGTTTTAAACTCACCGTTAAAGCTCAGGGAACAAGCTGTAAAGGTAAATGTTGTGCCATCTGCTCCTTTAACAACACTCAAACCACCGTCACCATTACTAGTACGTCCTCCACGATTCCGTAATCTAATAGCATATTTGATATTCTCTTTTATAAGAACTGGTTTGTCAAATTTTAATTCTACTATGTCATTAACACAGTCATCTGGCCCAAAGGAGCCTCTTGTAAAGTCTAAACTGCTCCAACGCTGAGTATGCGATGGATCGTTACCAGTATTATTTTGCTGTAATAAAATAATAAATATATTACAGAATTCGAATGTACAGGAATAACAATAGAATATCTATATGTTATATATACTTACATCATCTAGCAATTCCAATTCGTAATCATATACTCCTGCACCTCCATAAATACCAACACCGGCTATAAGGATGCCTGGTCTATCAACGGAAAAACAGATAGCATCCGGAGAACCATTACCCGTATTCCACGATCTTGATTGATTTGTCCTCGTGAATCTCGACGGTGTGGTATACATAAGTCTACCACAAGCCGCTTGCAGTTCGTCTTCGTTTCCGCTCGATTGCGCGGCCAATTCGGCGATGACTCGCGCCAATAGATAACAGCAATGAAGAACCAATTCCGGCAGAGATTGAGTCTTTTCTCTACAAAGATTTTTCTTGACCGGTATTAGTATCAAGTCCAGTAGTCTGTCGAGTACTTCGCGGAACGACCAATTCAAGATTTCTTTGCTAGCGCTTTCTACTTGGGACTTGTAGCTAATTTGCTCGACTAAAATCGGATATTGATGAGTCTCCGTGGAATTCATCATAAGCAGACCGGCATTGTCGGATGGGCTGAGCTGCCGCTTTACACTGTCGCTGCTGTCCATAATGTTGCTCAAAATAGGAAATGTACACCTGAGTCGTATCGTCGAGTTGCACAACGAGGCTAGCACGGCAGAGAGGAGACGATCCTTCGTAGTTGTACCTTGTTCTTTGTCGATCTCCGATAACAATTCGCACAAGCATGTCCATTTGAGATATGCGGTAGGATAAAACGCGTGATAACAAGCCACAAACGTCTTGTGACATTCGTCCAATATACTGCTCGTCATCTTATTTCCCAAAGTATTACTGGAATTCTTGTTAGATCGCGTCTTCCCTTTACTCTTTAGAGCGATCGGCAAAGAATCGGACAAGATTTGACGCAGTAAAGCCCGTACTTCGCCTATACATTCCGCTAAACGTACCGATTCGGGAGGGCTCTTCTTTACAATGTGATTAGGATAAATTTCATTGGTGTACATTCTGAGCAATCTTAGACTAGCTTTACTTATGTACACTAACCGCTCCATCTCGAGCAACGTGTGAGTCGATGATGCGATATGAACGGCCGCGTCGGTCAGTGACGCTTTCAACGTGTTCCAGCTCCACTGAAGGAGAGATATTAAGGACTGAAAACATTCTTTCGTAACAGTCCTACTGAATTCCTTCTTCAAAACGTAGATCGGTTCTATTTGATCTCTCTGTCTGTTCGATGTCTGATTTTCGGGTGTGACAACACGATATAATAATTGCGGAATTTGACCGGCATTAACATCGGTGCCGTTGTTAGATCTTTTAGATGATTTAAAATAAAACATCACCTGATCTTCGGCCGTGACTACTCCTTGCCCACCGGAACCGCAATCGCTGGAAGGCCCGCCGACTTTGGCCCACGCCACATACCATCTGTTTGCTTGCAAACAAATCGGATCGTCGAACAGAATCGAATATTTCTGTCTTGGGCCGCATTCGTACGGGATCTCTTCTGTCTCCGCGAGAAGTTCCCCATCGTTCTCTTGATCTCCACCATCCATTCCGATATCAAAGAGCTTTATCTTCGCGGTATATTCACCTCGACCGCCAAATAAACCATATCCTCCTAATATAATATCCGTATCCGGCATAAATCTAATCGCTTCGATCGAATGAGCGGAATAACCCCATCCTCCCCCGTGACTTTCAAATCTGCCGACAGTGGCATAGTCTTCGCGGCTGTAAACTTTGCCATGTGTTGACTGATGACATTCGCTTTCTTCGACTATTGATAAATTCTCATCCTGAGCCTGCGTCAATGTATCCAAGCAAGCTAATAAGTGCATCGCTGCTTGAGAACGCGTTACAAAACAAGTCGAAATAACCGGAAGTGCCAAGCCTGGATTGAGTATGGATGCTTCCAAACTAGGTATCGTCCGAGCTTCCGTCGATATTATGTTGTACAAGCTTATTTCATTATTCATCGAATTGAAAGTCCAAATGACATTGTACAAGGGATCTAAACACGCCGCACAGTTGTTGAAATCAACCTGATCCGCACCGTTATAACTGTTGCACGTGCCATCGCGTTTACTTATCACCAAACTCTTGAAAGAATTCGCGTGCTCGTTTTGATGAGGTATTAAAATAATACAATTCTTATTCGCCATAACGGTACTTCTCGTCAAACTAATGGAATTAATTTCATCTATCTTAACATAAGTTTGATCCCCGGCGGCGCCGATCCACGTCGCCCGTCTGCCCCATCGAGGACCGATATTCGGAACTACGTTTGGAAAACTGTGCCACGGTTGGGACCGATCAGCGCGACGATTTGCCTGAGAACTAACGTTCGTAGATTCATTCTGATCGTTCCACCAATTCATGCCAAGTTGTCCCTTTTGATACGCACCGAAAGTGTAAATTTCGCCCTTGGACGTGAGTATAACGGTATGATTGCTCCCAGCAGCTACCTGGGTAGCGATAGTCGGCAATTTAACTTGAACCGGTCCCGCATGCGCCACCAAATCCCCGACGCCTAATTGACCGTATATATTACTACCAAATGTGTATACTTCTCCATTTTGCAAAAGTAACACTGTGTGATGTAAACCGCAGGACACTTGAATCACGGGACTCTCGCTAGGAATGGGAACTCTGGCCGGTGATATACTGGCGATTCTCGCCGCGTCTCCCCGTTCCACATCGCTACCACCGACGGCTTCCTCGACCGCGAGATTACTGCTCAATCCCAATGCAACTTTTTCCAGAAATCCCTTTTGCGCAATACTAGGACCGGCGATACGCTGATTATTCGAGCTCTTGATCTTTACTCCATATTTGACGGTACTTGGTCCTGCTTTACTTCTTTGCCGTTGCTTTATCTCGCCTAATCGTCTCTGCAAATATTCACGAAAGTTGGAGCCCGATATGCCGTTGCTGCAACTCTTTCTCGCACACGTGCGACAACATCCGCATTCCGCACATCCGCTGTCCCCTTCGCCACATCCGCACTCTTGACCGGGATTCCGATCGGGGCGTATACTGCTCAAGCACGATATACTGTAGCCGGTACATTCTCTGCATATCGTGCAAACCATGCAAACGCGATGCCTCCACTGATGTTGCCCTGGTTGGCACATACCCTTCGTTTCTTCCCAATCCTCTGCAGGATCCACATTCTCTTCTTCCGCTATTATCAGTTCATCTTCCCCTGTACCCATCTCCATCGCAACCACTGACATTTCCTTATTCACGGTATGCACCGTCGCGGAATCGCGACCACACTGTCCTTTATTATTTATACCAAAAGTATATAAATGTCCTTTGTTAGTTAATGCAGCGGCATGAGCTTTTCCTAACGATACGCGAGCTATACACACGTCCCTTAAATCGGTAACTAATCCTGTCACTGGATCGCTATGTAGTGTATCTTTGCCAAACATTAATAGAGAGCCGTCTTTCGTAACTAAAGCGGTAGATCCGTTATTGCAAGCGGCATCAACGATAAACTGACCTTCCACTTTTGCCATCTTCTTTGGTTTTACCGGTTTTGGTTGCCTACGAGCTTTATCTAGAATAAAATCAATAATTTTATTAATTTTTGTTATTATAAAACAAGTTATCTTTTTTTATACAACAATAAACTTACTACTATCTCCATCTTCTCCACGTCTAGCAGTGCCAATAAAGAATACAGAACCATCCTCCATGACCATTACGACATGCTGACCATCATGGCCTGCTGCAAAATGGGCAATTCTTGGACTTTTAGGACCAAAGGTAAGCTCTAACCATCTATTAGGTCTTGTATTACTCTTCATGCCTAGACAAGTTCCTTTTCCACTATATAATAACTGTAAAGGATGATAGATTAACATAGTACAAACTAGATATATAACATGTAATATTGAAATATATTGAACAATAACATTTTTTGAAACATTTCTCACATGATACCTACTTTTCCAGACACTGTTTTCAGTAAACCAAATTCCTTTCCTGCTGTAACCATTGCAATTTCATCATCGCATCCCGGATTCAAAGTATGTATCGTTTGTTCTTCGTCAAATGACGCATATCCAAATATATCTACACATTTCCTTGCCAATTTCAGTGGCAATTCAGAAGCAACCGTTACAGGATTACTCAGTGTATTTATTGTACGCACTACAAAGCCTTCCTGTTAAGAGAAGATAAAGACAAATTAATTATATAAAAATCTCAAACAATAATACAACAATAATGTGTGTATATATATATATATATATACATATATGTTTTATATTCTATGAACTATATCGAATAAAATGTATTTCTTATCAATGCGTGCACATTCGAATAATAATTTAGATGTGTCATATCTTATGCATGCGTTCGATCTTCCCTTCGCGAATATTCTTTTTTCCTTCCGAGCATCACAGAACAGTTTGATGACATTAAAACCGAAGAAGCTCGTAAAAAGCCGCGACGTACATTCGAATGCGATACCGTGCAATGACAGAAGTAAAAAGGATCACGAGACACCGCGAAGAGCGATACAACCGCAGAGCTAGACTGTCGCAAATCGCGCGGTACACCTTAATGGTGTAGAAAAAGAGCTGGGGATCTCTGAAACAGCTGCTCAGAAACGATCGCACGGACATATTCTACTGATGACGAGCCATCTGCCACAGTCGACTTACCTTCTCGCTCGCGCGCTCCTCTTCGGACAGTATGAGGTAAGGGTGAAACTCCTTGAAGCCGATACTCTGAAAGATGCCTTTCGTGTAATCGGGTAATCTGGAATGTAAACATTCTCTCTTAGATCGCGTCCACCGGTCCTACCTTCCTCGTCATTTCGATG